GAAGCCATGTTTCCATGGAGTAGAGTCCCCCTAGGCAGAAGCACTGCTTCAAGCTTGGGGCTTCAGCAGGCCTTGAACATGCTCAGACCTGAAGTCCCAAATGCTAGCCCTAGAAGGATGTCAATCTCAGCCTTCAGGATACCTGAGGAGATGATGTCCTGAACAGGGTTCTCTTGAAAACATTCCTCACAAGATGTGCAAGTCTCAGCTTGGGGCTGTGGAATAACAAATAGCAGACTGCGGCCGGGGCTATGGCACACTTCAGGCAGTAGGAGCAGGTGAGCTGGCCTCTTCAACCTTCTTTCCTCTTGTCCTTCCCTATTTAGCTCTAAACAAAGCTGGAAGCTTCAAATTACAATATAATGGGGGTGATGGAGACATGGCAGGATGGAGGGTTGGTGAGGGTTAAAAGGCCTAGGTCAGGGGCCAGAACTTAAAGGGTTGTTTATGGCAGCCTTCCTCCCATTTCCAGTGAGACAAGAGATTTCAGGTGCTTTGGATCAGTCACATGGAAGGAGCTGGGTGTGCATTGTGGGATGGCAGGGGTTTACTAGGGGTGACTGGAAAAAGCAGACAGGGGATGGTGAGTTGATTTGAAGGTAATGTTGCCAAGGAGAGGAGGGTCACCAGAAAGGCCAAACAATTTGACTCCAGAGCTCCCATTCAGACAGAACTGGGTTCAAATGTCTGTTCTACTGCTTGTTAGCAGTGGAAGGGCACACTGGAGGCCCTTCATAATTACTTGCTGAATGAATAGAGCCCTTGGCCAAATCATTTGTCCTCTCTGAACCTCGGTTCCTCATCTGGAAAACAAATAGTGGCTATTATTTTTATTATTTCACCTGTGATCTCTCTCCCCATGTCTGTATCAGTTTGTGGGTCCATCTTCCCAACTTTGCAAAATATCGAGGCTGCCAAATCAAGTAAACCTCCTTACTAAGGGTTGGAAAGGATAGATGTGCTCAAGGCCTTGCTCTTCCCCCTCCTGTTCTCCCCCACTTTCTCTCCAGATCCCATTTGTTTCTCTTTCAATCCCAGGCAAACTTTGGGGTATAGTTCTGGGAACACAGAGCAAGTGTTGAAACCTCCAGTTACAACTCCAACACTCCATCACATACTTACAAATACACAATGCACCCTCCCCGCCCCCTCCCCAGAGGGTTGGTTTGAGCTGCAACATGAAGCTCTGAGCCCCCGATGGGCCCCTACTTGATTCAAATGTCAGTGGTACATTTGAATGTACTAGAAAACCTCCTACCTCTACCCCCATTTCCCCATGCAGAGCTAGCCAGGCTTGCAGAGCTGGTCCCCTCTGGGGACTGATCACATCAGTACTGTTCCAGCTCTGGAAGGTTCACTGTGAGCTAATTTCTCTGGAGTATGTTAACCAGAGGAAAGGCAAACAACTCTGAGCATGTGAAGATGGTGTGAGAAGGATGATTCTACAGTAGTAGTCATGAGCTGGGATAGCTCATTGGCATGAGAAGAGCAATTTGCAAGAGCAAAACAGAGCTTTTCTCTGTATAAAACAAACAGTTTGAATGGACTCTTCATGGTTTTATTTTATTTATTTATTTATTTGTATTTTCCCCTTTTGGAAAGACTAATGGGCAGAAAGAGTGGAATAAGATGAGGTCAAAATTTCCCTGCATCTTTAATCATTCTGCAGTATGTGGAATGCATCTCTGTACGATGATCCTTCTTGGGTTTGATTTCCAATAGGCTAAAATCTCATCTTTTGTGCTTCTGAGGGATGTGGTGAGAAAAGGAAAAAAACCCAAGCTCAAAGGATGATCAAATTCAACTAGACCTGCTGGCTAAACTCCCTTGCACAGTGGAGCTGAATCAATTTACTCCCTCACTGCCATCTCACCTCCCCAAATCAACCCCTGCCTCCCCACCTGGCTCTGTTTTTTTAGTCCAGTGGAAGTGGGGGGAGGGGAGGCACAGAAATGGCCACTTCCCTGAGGTTTTTACATGCAAGAGCAAATGACAGTCTTGGAGACAGGTTCAGGAAAATCTTTCAGAATGCAGAAAATTCAGCAGCCTTTCCACACTGACCATTGTCATGGCAACGCACTATCTGATGGCAGCATGCGTCACCAGGCTGAGGGGCACAGTATCAGTATAGCAGGTTAGCCTGGCCATTTTTAGCAACATTAAACTTCTTTCTAGCCTAATTTCTTCTAGGTTGAGCTGATTGTCTTTTTGGTTCTGGACTTGGTGATCTGCTAATTCTCATGGCTAGAGCACAAGACTGTTTGTTAATGTGAAGGGGATGGCTAAATGGAAGAGCTCAACATTCCTAGTAGTCTACAGCCACTCTACTCGCTGTCCCCACCCCCCTGCTTTTCCTCACCCACTCTTAGCCACTTTGCTTTTCTCCTCCGGATCAATTCTTTCCCACACACAGCATTATCTCCCCCCCTCCAACATGTGACTCATCTACCAATCCCTGTACTCTCAACATATTCTTTTCATTTATTTTCTATGCTCTCATTGTAATGCACAGTATGCTAGAATCTCAGAGTTGGAAGAAACCTTAACAATAATTTAGTCCAATCACTTTCCTCCAAGATAGGAGTCCCTCTGCAGTATGTCAGACAAGTGACTGTCTAGCCTCTATTTGTATATTTCTAGTGACAGAGACTTCCTCCTGCTCCACTTTGGACAGCTTTGATTGTTAGAAAATGATTCCTTCCATTGAAAAAAAACCCTCTTTTTAATAATATCTGCCCATAGTCCAGCTCTGTGCCCTGTGGCCACATAAACCCTGTCTATGTCCTCTGCTCTGTGATAGCCTTTCAGAGATATGAAACAAAGATCACGTCCCTCTGAGGCTTCTCTTGTCCAGAAAGCCCCAGCTCCTCTAACCAGACCTCTTGGAGCCCGGGCTCCAGTCTTCTCCCCAGCCTGACTGACCTCTTGGAACATGCTCCTATTTGTCTAGGGCCCTTTTAAAGTGAGGTCGATACTGCATCAGCATCTCTGGAGGCCACCTTGCCCTGGTGACTCATGCTGAGCTCTGTGTCAACTAAAATCCCTAACTCTCTTACAGATAAAATGCTGCTAAGGCTTATGCTCTCATTTTATATGGGTACAGTTGCTTTTGAGGACCCTGTTCCTGGACCACACGTTTCTTTTCAGTTTGAATTCATCATGTAATAATAGGAATATTGTTTTAACTTGTTAGGACCCTTAAAAAAATCTTGACTTCCATGTAACTTCTATATTCTCTAGGATCCTTTTATTCATGAACCCTCATCCTAGCCTTTTATCTCAATTCTCATTTACTACTCTTTTAAGTCTCTTACCTTTCCTAGTTCTTTTCCCTTTGCATTACCTTCCTTATGTCTTCTCTCACTTGTAATTTTCATTTCCTCAATTGCAAGATGTCACCACTCTCTAGGGCTATGTGCTTGGGGATGGATGTGTGTAGGAAACAAGGGCATATCTGCATAAATGGAGGTGTGAGCAAGGAGCTGCAGAGGCTTGTATAATTTCTCTGTTTCTATTGCTCTGTGTTCGACCAGGATTTAGAGGCCAGGTGGAGAAAAATGTCAAGGTTGAAGGAAGAGGGGTAAGAGAAATTGGTTGAGAATCAGTCCAAGGGAAACAGGAAATATCTTCTGAGTCTGAGAAGAGCCGGGGGAACCTGGGTTGGATCGTTAGTGTTCATCAGAGTTGCAGCACAGTGAGAACGACTCAAGAAGGGACAGTGATGGAAGAGTTTTGAAGGCCTTATATATTGGATGAGGGAGGAGGATTTGGTTTGGAAGTGAGGACTTGTGGCATCAGTATCCATTTGAGAGAGCAGAGGGGAGGTGGCTTGAGACGGGAGGCAGGAGAAAGCTGAGGACTATAGGACATTAGAAGGGGCAATAAGCAATTCTGAATATAACCATGAGTCTATGACTTATTAGCTTAGAAAATTTTCTCTGGCCAAAGGAGACCAGGACATGGAATCCTTGCCTATAGACTTTCATGTCATCATAGATGCGGCTCTGTGAGTGTATGTGGGCCTTAATAGAACCCCCAGTGAAGACCTTCAGAACACAGCATGTTCCCTCAGACTAACTCCAGCATGGAATAGGCCTCCCTTTCACATTGGATTATATTCCAAAGAGAGAGTAAAAACTAGGAGAACTGGTGTTATCTTGGTCATTTTATGAATAAACATGGGAAATTCATTCTTAGGAATGGGCAACCTTTGGCTTCTTAACTCTGAAAATAATTAGGATACAAAAAATATACACATGCACATACAAAACCAATTAAACAGGAAAATGGCTGCCCCATATTTAAAATGAATGGAGCAGCTGGGGGTAGAAGGGGGCTCTACTGGAGAGCTGAGGGCAGTGACCCCAAACAGCTAGTGAACAGTGATCAGGAAGGCAATGACCTGATGACTGTCATAACCCTTCTATCCAGCAGCCAGAATGACTGCAGGGCAGCCTCAGGGGAGGGAAAAAGGAAAGAGTAGAAGCTCTATCTCCAATACTCAGGGTGAAACTGGGAAACCCACTCTCAGAGCATCAAAATCCCTGAATACTCATTGGAATTCCACAGTCTCTGAAGACTTTGCTGGACCAAGAAACCATCCATGCTGGGAGAGAATGTCTGCCAGCTCCTTTTCAACCTGACCCCTTCAAGTCTAAATTGACTTGAACTTCCCTCATCTTCAAGAGGGTTGCACTGTTGGCTTTTTGAAAGGAACAGGGTCTCTGGGCATACTTGAGAACTGATTTTCCCTTAGATGTGCTTGAAGCTGAACCTTTTGTCCTTTTGAAGGTGACGTTAGTCAGCCAAATGACAATCCCAACCAGAGTGGCCAGTGTAGAATTCTGACTGCAATCTGTTAGGCTCCAAAGACGTTTCCTTTCCAAGTCAGTGAAATGACTAGCCACCAAAAGACAAATGGTATTCAAGGAAGCCCCCACCAATGAGCTTCCACAAACTGGGTGGAATACAGAATGCAGGACTTGAGGGGTGGTGCTCACCTTTGATGTAGTTGAGGATTTGCTGGATTCGGTGGGGCTCATTGCGGTCTGGCCGGCAGCTTGGCGTGATTTCCAGCACATAATCAGGACCATATGCTGTGAAAAACTGTAAGGAAAAGGGAAAGGCCAAAAAACAAACTAAACCACATAATACCTCAAAACCAAACCACATACAAACAGGACAATCAAAAGAAACTCACCACTACCAACAAGGCCAGGGAGGCCTCACTGGGTAGAGCAGGAGGATGCAGCAGGAAGCCCTGCCCTGCTGGCATCACTCTGCTCATTCAGACATTCAAAGACAATCCACGGTTAAATTCTTTTTTTTTTTTTTAATATTTATTTTTTAGGTGTAGATGGACAAAACACAATGCCTTTATTTTTATGTGGTACTGAGAATCGAACCAGGATCCCGCCCATGCTAGGTGAGCGCTCTACCACTGAGCCACAATCCCAGCCCCCATGGTTAAATTCTTTAGCTTGCTATTTAAGGACTTCTCTGTTCAGGTCTCCACTTTTCTCTTCAACCATAGTTCTTACTGCTTTCTGTTCTTGGGCCTCAATAGACCACTGGGCCTCAATAGACCACTCTGTGCTCTCTGGTATTGTCCTAATGCTTTGTCTTCCATTAGGATCTAGCCATTTCTCTTTCCTGGGGCCTGAAAAACTTCACTACCAATCCCTGTTGCCTGTAAATAACCTCCCCGTCCTTCTAGGCACAGTTCAAATGTTACCTCTTTCACAAAGCTGTCCCTTATTCTCCACCAAACCGTGTGCCTCCAGCATTCTGTTGGTAGCTCTCTTATGACTCTTGTTAAAATAGACAGTTCTGGCCTCCATATCATAGGCAGGTCCCTGTGCCAGCTGTAGTGGGACTACAAAGATGAATGAGGCTTCCTCTGTGGTCCTCTAGGTGTTCACTAGCACATTCTGCATTGGATAAAGAGTTTTCAATACTGACTGGATCTCCTACTTCCCCACTGGATCATCAGCTCCCTGAAGGCAGGCAGCCTCTGTGTTTAATTCATCTTTTGGACTTCATAGCTCATGGTGGCTTCCTAAATAGCTTTGGTTGTCTTGAATTTCCTGCCCCAGGAATGCCAAACAAGTCTAGTTTCTCTATTTCAGTTTTTCTTTCTCTGTAGTAGAGTTTATTTGTTTTTAAATTCAGGGAATCAAAATAAAGGTTTGTGGATTCTATTTCTAGCTCACTAGATGACTCCTTGTGACCTTTGGTAAGTCACAGTATCTGATTCAGCTTCTCTGTTAGGGTCCACTTAGGGAAAAACACTTTATGACAAAGGGAATCATTTAATTGGGATAAGTCTCTGAATGGGAAATATGCAAAGCTACTATTTCTGTTTAGTTTTTAACAGAAATAGTATTTGTGCATACTCTCTGGAGAGAGAGCATATGGTCCTTAACATTATGTGCTTTCAATAGTGATACTGTTAGGTGGTAAGCAAATTCCATAAAAAGTGGCACAGTAGGCATGAAAATAGAGATGTTGATACATGTCAAGACTTTGATGCCATTCAAAGAGCTTCTTAGAAGTAATTCATGGTTATTGCCATTGCCACCAAATTATCTGTGTTAAGAGTCTGGATGTACATCTGGCACCGTGGGAGATGTTGTAGAACAATCTCTAGGGATTCTAACAGTGTCTTTGTGGAATCCATGGCAGTAATTTCATGGGGGAAATGGCTTTTTCACATCCATGTCAGAAAATTCTACACATTTAATTTAAAGAAAAATTCCCAGGACTGTGCCACTGCTTCTAATGTCATTTGCTTGCACACATGTTGTATGTGTGTGTGTGTGTGTGTGTGTGTGTGTTTGTGTGTGTGTACTGATGTAGAAGAGGAGAAGGGCTTAGGTCATTACTGCTGGAGTTATTATTCTCTGATGCCTGACACCCCAGGTTCTGGAGATAGAAGAGTCCTTGAGTAGAGATCATCTTTACCCAAGCCTATATATGGAACAGATAAGAGAGGTTACCTGGGGGACACATCCAGAAACTAACCCCCACTATCATGGCTGAAGAAACTTGAGAGGCTTGTATTTTTAGCTAAGGAGGGCCCCTTGGTCCAAGCCTGAGGACCTTGTAGGCTTGGCTCTGGAAGAAAAGGCTTCAAACAGGTGTGGCGTCTTCTTCTTAGGCAGCCTCTTCTCCAGAGAGTGTCAAGTGGTATACTCATCTCATGGGTATGGAAAGACAGGCTTAGAGAGCACAAGAGAAGAAAGGCAGCTGCAATGAAGCATCTCCTTTGGGAGACCCAAACCTCTGGCATCAAAGTGCTATAAAAGTCAGAGGCAGGGTGCCTAGCTGAGGTATAGGAGGAGAGAATGTTCTGTCTCCACATGCAGAGATGACACTGCTGATCTTTGGTCAGCAAGGCATGTCGTGAGCTGTTTCCTCAGGGCTGAGGGTTTGGAACAGCATGTCCTCACTTGTGAGTGCCTACCTACTATGTGGTTACCCATACTCTTCTACATTAGTCCTCTCTGACCGAGAGCACACTGTTGCTAACCACATGGTCAGCTGGGGCCAGAATTGACTGCCACGAGACAGAACTCAGCTCTACTAGGATTAAGCCTCTTGTCCTGTCTTCATTTGCACCTGGCTTTAACTAACTGAACCACACAGTGGGCAAAGTCATAAATAACCCATTCTTTACAGAAGCAGACTGGCTGCAAGTAACAGGCAAGTCTGGGTTCCTAAACTTCTCCCTGAATTTGCCAATCAAATATTATCCTCAGGTCTTGCTTATTTGCGCGATTTTTGGGCTAGGAGACTCATTCGGTTTAAAAAAAAAAAATCCCTGTGTTGAGAGTTCCATATGGCAGCAGGCTGGCCTGAGTCTTGGGAGGCTCTGCCTGAGGTCAAGGGAAGAAATAGACACCAGGAAGTCATAAACTGTATCAAAAAGCAAAGCTGGTACCATGTTCCCTCTCTCCGGCTCTGTCATAGAATTTCTCTATGTGTGTGTGTTAGGTTATATTTTTATTTCTGTACTTGTTAGATCTTCCTTACTGGACTATGAACTCTGAAAAGGCAAACAATTCTGTTATATTCTCTATGCCTACCCTGTAGAGTCACTCAAGTTATCACAGGTTTTCCTTAAATATTTGTTGAATTTAATTAATTCACCAAGGGCTGAGCTAGCTGTTCAGTCAATTGTGTGGAATAATTCAGAGTCAACTGATAGCATGAACAACTTTTCTAGACTTTGGAAGCAGCATGATAAGATGGAAAGAGCACTGGCTTTGGGGTCAGGGAGAGCTGGAATTTGGTGCCTGGATTTAGCTATGTGCCTCAGGTAAGCTTGTTAATCTCTATTTCATCATTTCCACCAGAGGAATGATAAATGCTGGCCTGGTTGGGCTGTTAAGCACCAATGAGATAATATCTACCAAGGGATAAACTCAGGGCCCATGATATAGTAGGACTTCGATAAATGTGAATTCCCTTCTCCCCAGGCAAGAGGTCCTTGCCTAACCATGTCTCATCCATACCCTGAGGAATGCTGGGTGAAGTGCTCCAGGCTGAGATGTAGAAAGAAGAGCCTGTTCCTCCTGCCAGACCAAGCCTAGTGGCCCCAGTGTTCCTCCTCACTTGTTTAAGTCATTAGCTCAGCCTAGGGCATGTGGAGGAATTGATTTCTCTCATAGTTTCTGGTCTGATGGGCCTGCCACTTGTTAGTTACTGGTGAGGTAGAGAGGAAATATGATCACAGAAGGCAAAAGAGATGTTGGGGTGGAGGAATTTGGCCAGCACTAGAAATAGCTTGAGGCCCCACCCTGAAAGTGTCCTCCAACCCCAGAGAGGAAAGAAAATGGGCACGCAGCGATCCCATTCCCAGACAGGTGGAGCAGGGGATGAAAGAGGCCAGCCGACCTTCAAGGGAAAACACTGGCTTTGATCTCAGTAAAGAAGGAGGGAAGTGCTAACCCCTCTCCACCTCTTCCCCCGTTTCCCTCAGCACTCCTTTGCTTTCTGGGTTTGAATTTAAAATTTTTGAGGGGTGCATGGTAGTGGAAAAAGGGCCAAAGAAAGTATGAGGTAGGGCAGAGGAATGGAAGTTGAAGGTAATGGCTACTTTAGGGTAGTTGGTCTCTTCTTGACCCAAGTCAATGAATAAAGGAATGTAAATAGCTCAGATCTAGTTTAGTTCAGTCCAACTTAATGCTTCTTTCTTGCTCAATCTTTCCAGCTCTTGTTCACACAATGTAAACAGCACACAATTAGACATTTGGTCAAAAAGATATCAGAACAAGGTTTAAAGTTGTTATTTCTCCATAATCCTGTTTGGTCACAATAAAACAAGCCACAGACTTGAATCAGCCAATTCTTTTATCCCTCCCTCAACATTTAGTAAGTACATACTATGTGCCAGACTAGGTAGTCTTTGGGGTACAAAGACAATAAGGAACGCTTAATAGGAGGGATTATTACAGAGCAGTGTGGTGAGTGGTATCACAATAATAACACTAAATAAAATAATGACAACTAACTTTTATTATAGGCTTATTGTGTGTCAGGTACCTAAAGTGTCTAAGCATATTTTATGAATTGACTAACTTAATTCTTAAAATCAACCTATATGGTGGGTACTATTATGATTTTCATTTTAAGATGAGGATTTGAAGCATAGGGAACTTGATAGAAGTTGCACAGTTAGGATTTTCAAAGTTGGGATTTGAACTGAGGTCATTCCAGAGCACTAGCTATTCAGAACCTATAAACTACCCCAGAGGAAGTGACTCTGGAGTAGGGTCTGGCCAAGGGAGTAGGGGAATAAGAGGAAGGTTTTCCAGAACAGCACATAATTAGCTATCATTAGATGTGGCTAGCGGGTAGAGACCAAGGAGAATCAGGACACGAAGCTGGAGGGGTAAACAAGAATTTCACCGTAAGCCCTACTAAGGCATTTTCCCTCATTGCAGATTAGTAGCTCCATGAGGGCAGAACATTGTTTTGAACCCTGCTATATTGCCAGTTCCCACAAAAATGCTTGTCCTTAGTAGGTGGTAAATAAATATTTGTGGGATAATGTGTAGAAGTTTGGTGGCGATATATGAAGGTTTTCTTTTACTTTTTTTTTT